CGCCTCGAAAGCGCAGTCAGCGTCCCCTCCCCGGAGCCGGGAATGGAGGGGCTGACCTCCGACCAGCGGGATCAGCCAGCGTACCCCTCCGAAGGGCCACTCGCCTCCCAGCTCAGTCGCCCTGGAAAACACCGGTGCCGGGGACCGGCGAGAGGCGGAAGCAGCCTCGGGGGGTGGGCGGGAGGACTCACCGAACATCTGAATGTGCCCTTTGGTGATGGGATTAAAGCTGCCGCAGGCCAGCAAGATAACGTGGGTCTTGGTGGTCTCGGTCATGGTGCGGGCGGGCTCCTCGCGCTGGTCGCGGGGTCGCTTCTCTTTTTGTGTCTCGATGTCTGCAGAGGGAGAAAGGAAGGCGAGGCTCCGGCGGCGTTGGATGCTGTGGACTCCAAGGAGCCGCTCCAGACGCAAACCGCGTCACTCCCCGCCTCCCCTTAACGCTTGCATCCCCGGCAAGATCCGAGACTGCTTTTGTACTGCTCTGCTCCGTCTTTCTCCTTCCTTCCCAGCTTCTTTCGCGGGTTTTGACCTTCCTTTCTCTCCCCCCGCCCTACCTCGTTCGATCCCGCTTGCTTTTTTAGTGTCTGTCCAGACACAATGTGGTACCCAAGTCCAGAACCATGAATACTTACAGTATGGTGTGAGCTCCTCCTCTTACCCCCGTCTGATTTACTTTTCCTCCCTCATTCTAACACTTTTCTGTCCACATCTATTCTCTAAATCCAAAAGCGTTCGATGGGAAGAGCTGTTTCTTTCTCCCTTCCTCAGATGTTAAGTGAGGAATGACAGTTCATTTCAGGAGTGTTTATTTCTGCCTTTGTTTTGCCCCATATCTGATGATTGTGAACTGCTGAACTGAGCCAAGAACTAGGGAAGCCTCGATCCTTCCCCTCTTCCCTTTCGTGGGTTGAAGCAATGAGATCAGGTTGGGAGAACATACATGGGGCACCATGAGCTAAAGTTGTCTTAGAAAACGACGGTGATCTTACATAAGCTGCCAAAAATGAGGCAAAGATGTACACATTCGATGTTTCTTGAGTGCTCACTGTTGTGTTTAGGTTTGGTTATAAAACCTGCTGATAAAGCCAAGCCCCTGTCTTCACCGAGTGTACATTCTACGGAAAGGAAACACAATCCGCAACAGATCAAGAAAATACTAGATGGCGGTTGTGCAATGCTCCACCGGTGAGTGTAATTTACTCTCTGGCTGTGAGTGGAGGAAAGGGGACCACTTTACATCAAGTAGTTAGAGAAGGCCTCTCTGGGTAGGTAAGATTTAAACTGAAACCTAAAAGACAAGGGGTTGCTACTACAAATATTTCGGGACAGGTAAGAGTTGATTGTGCTGGTAGAAATGAAAGAAGGCCACTGTGGCTAGAGTGTATGAATAAAGGGGGAAATCCTAAGAGAGAAGATTGGACTTGTGAGCAGGATCCAATAAAGTAGGGCGTATAGGTTAAGGTAGGGTTAGGAATAATTTAGAGAGGAATGAAATATGGAAGCCATTGGAGACCTTCCACAGGGGAAACAGAATGCTTCCAGGTGCCAACATGCTGGGCCCCGAGCTCTGGTCTAGGAGGACAGAATTGCCTGTGTCTTTGTATCTTTATTTGGCTGTTGTTCATATATCACTTAATGTCTTTTGTAATAAGTGGGGTATCTAGTGTGGGGGGGGACCCATTGAAGCTTTTAAGCAGAGGAGTGATTCATAATCTACACTTTTATAAGACAGGTCTGGCTGCTAGGTGGGAAATAGGCAGACAAGGAAAGCATTTAGGGAAATCTGCTGGCAGGCTAAGCAAACGGGATGGTCCTTGGACTAGGATTCATAGAGGTGACTCTGCTGAGAAGCAAAGGGTCTCGGGATAAGTGTTGTAAATAGAGTTTTTGA